GAGGCAGGAAATAGTTGTCGGAGGACTCTGCTGGTATATTATTTATTTCCTTTGACATATGCCCTAACGATTCGTATTCCGATAATACCCTGTTATATTCCTTTTGTAGTCCAGGATCCTTGGCCAATCGCGTCTCGTTTCGGAAAAATTGTGAGTACGCTCTTTTTAGGGAGGGTCCTAGGCAGACATTCTCTGGAAAATCCTGCCTGAATGGTAGCGAAACTACATAGTTCCCGTCTTTGGTACGTTGAGTTGTACTCTTGTACAGCTCCTCACAGTACTTGTATTCCTCACTTAGGCTTTTGCTCTTCGGCAGATCCTCTACTTCCCAGAACGCAGTAAGCTGCTTATCCAAGGTGACTTCGCTAAAGTATGAAGCAATATGGTTGGTTGCACTTGTTGCATCTGTGCGGCAGGTTAATATCCAACCGAACACTGTTTCTTGGGCTAGAAGTGTATGAAGTACATTTTCTTCAAGCCGCTCAAAATGATTTCTGGATAAATATCTCCTCCAAGCACAAGGTCCACTTGCTCATTAACAAAGAACCTTTTATCGGCCAAAACCAAATCTGGGAATGCTTGTTTAGTTACAGCGCTAATATGGGTAGTTGGAAGATTTCCAATTAGTTGTGCTAAGACGAGCACAGTGGTAGTCGACCGGAATAATGGGTCAATCGGTGACCGTATTTCTATGTTGCATGCTTCTTTGACCTGCGCCGATATGGAATTTGTGATGCCGGAAACTTGGGCATGCAATCTTTTGGATGGCAGGTTGATTCGGCGTTGGAGTCTTTCCGTTATAAAGGAACACTCAGACCCGGAATCAATAAGAGCTCTTGCAGAAAAATCAGTTCCATTAAATGTATATTTACGCGCGCTGTTCCTAGGAGCACACCAGTATTTGAATTTGCAAAACAAGAGTTGACATTTTTGTTCCCATTTGAATTTGGTTTTCCTGACTTGCGTTTTGTTTGTGCTTGCTTCGATGAAGATGCTGGATTACCAGTTGAGCTCGCCGGCACTTGGTGCGCTGTAGGCATTTTCTGGTCAGTCGCAAGGTGCAGGAGTGTGTGGTGTCGGGAGTGGCACTTGCTGCAATTAAACGAGCATGTGCATCTTGACACAGTATGTCCACACTTAAGACAGTTCAAGCAAGAGTTATTGTTTTTCAAGAACTCTATTCTTTCAGATGGTGTCAGCTTTAAGAATCGGGAACAGCTGCGTAACTTGTGCTCATTGGACTGGCACATTATGCAAGTGAACTTGGTCACGCTTGCTTGGAAAACGCCAAGTCGTTTTGGGGAGGCTTCTGCTGTTTTGGTTGTGTGTTGCGGCTTTGACGCTCTCACAGCTTTGGAATTTTTTAAGCCTGATAACGTCTCCAACGTTTGAAATCTGTTGGATAGGAACTTGTCCATATCCTCCCACTTTGGTATATCATTTTTGTGGTCTATGGTAGAGCCAGCGTACTTTCTGGAAGTTTGGTGGAGCAGAGATAGACTATAATTGGGTCCCAGTTTGAAACGTTAATTTGGTGACTGTTTAGGGCCGATAAGCAATTATCTATATCCCGCTGCAACTTTTTTATTGAGCTACCACACTCATTTTCCACTGAATTTAAATTGAAAAGTATTTTCAGTTGTGTATTTACGAGGATACGCTTGTTTTAATATCTCTCGCATAAACTTTTCCAGGCTGTTTGGAAGCCTTCGTTGGTAAGTGGACACTTTCTCACGATGTCTTTGGCTTCCCCTTGAGTCTTTTGGTTGAGGTGAAATAGTTTCTCAACCAGAGTGAGGCGCTTGTTAAGGATGTATATGGCCGTGAACATATCACGAAATGATGGCCATGACAGATAGTCACCTTTGAACTTATCGGTATCACACGGAGGTAGGTGGATATTGTGTTCACGGACCGACTGATCCTGTACATCCTTTTCTGCGTTAACAAGCGTTTCGGACTGAGTCGCCATGGCAGACATGCATTTCACATAGCTGGCGAACGAGCTTTTATGTTTTCTCCTTATGGCCTTAATGTCTTCTTTCGATAACCCTTCTTTATTAATTAAAGTATCATACCCTTGTTTAGTTTTTTCCCACATAGCTTTCAGTTCGTCTTGCTGTATTGCAAGACCATGTTTACTTTGCTCTGCTGGTGGCGTGCTGCTAAAATCGGATTTAAATTCGATTATAGCCTCTGCCAAACGAATGAACGATTCCATATTTAAAAATGATACTTGAGGTCAAAATCAATAAGAGATGAATTCGATGATGTGCTTTTATATATTGTAGCAACCTTACTCTTCAACAAATATAAATGCTTAGCTTATCGAATTTGTTCGCCCGGTATTCAATAAAACGAAAATTTCTGCCGCTGAAAAAGATACCAACTCTTGTGGTCGAAACGCCAAAAACCAGATACAATTTCCGCAATTGAAAAAAAAAAAAAGGCGTTCAATTTATATTTAACCTGTTATTGTAACACTTGATTTCACTCAATATATTTTCTCCTTAAATTATCAGGGATTTCGGTAATGTATGTATATGAAAGCTGTATATATGTATGCGTGTGTATATAAAACTTGACTCGCCACCCAACTGCTATTAAATATGTTCGTGTAATTTGCAGATACGTCCACAACACAATAACAATATTCGCAAATTAATACTGCAATGGATCCACACGCAGAAGTGATTTTGTGAAAAACAAAGTGCAATTGCTAAAAGCAAAATTACCGTGTCCGTTTCAAACAAAGAGGTTATGTGTCCTCCGACGATCAGTGATAATACATATGTTGATAATAATGTGATTCGCTTATTTATTGCAACTATTGCTACACAAGTGATTAAAACGTCGACTGACGCGAAAAATGAGTTAAAAAACGTGATGATCAAGAGACGTTCAGTAATGAAATATATTTCACTTGATTCTTAGTTAACTCGACGCTTTTTTTATGTCGTATACATATGTATATTCAACCTATACCAGCTGTTGTTGTGTGAACAATTTTTCTAAGGAGTTATAAAAACGTGATCATAAACAAAAACAGAGTGCTTGAAGATTAAATATGTTGCAAAATGTGGCGCTTATCACTGTCGTGTGTGTGTGTGTACGTAAGATGTGGCACCTTGCAACTGAACTGTAGCCGTTTTTTGTCACACGCGGACAGACGGAATCACTCAGTTAGTTGGTTGAGGAAAAAAAGAAACAAAAAAAAACTTTTATATAAAATAAAAACCATATATTCTGTGAGAAATTGCGTTATCATATATAAAACATACACACTTGCAAATTGTGTTTCCCGCAAGTGATTTTGTGAACAGTATAGGTGTGCACAGTTTTTTTTTTTTACTGTTGCGGAATTGTATTTGTTGTGAAATAATTCGGAGCACACAGATTACATTCATTTCTATAATACACACTCTCTAATAAATTGAATTTCAAATAAACATAAGCATAAGCTGTATGATAATAAAACACAAACATACCTACCCTCCAGTACTGCTGGAGTCAATCGCTACTTTTGAACCGCACCTGCACCGACTCCTAGGTAAGTAGCTACTCTATTAACCCGTGGTAGTGCACATGGTAGTGCAGAGTCGAACCAGTCGTAAGCAGAATAGCGAAAAACTACGACAGAGGGCGCCCATAAATCACGCCAGTGACTACTTTAGTAACTCCCGGTAGTACAGAGAGAGCCGATGGTGACTACCGCCTAGGACATTGCCTTGTAAAAGTAATCGATGAAATACACTGCAAGTAGTCGGTCGGTAATTGACGGTGTTTATCAGGTAGCTACCGATTCAGCAGTCCTGTAGTCACTCCCCCGTACTGCAGGGTATTTACAGCTTATATTATATATGTATGTGTATTAGTTATATGTATGTGTAAAGAACTACGACCTAATAGAAGAGGGCCTCATTAAAGCGCACTTTAAGTGCTTTTGTTATTAGTGTTTTGCTGATCCGTGACTTGCAATATTAATTCGAATGAAATATTTTTGTAATTTCCTTTAACATACAACTTCCAGCGTCGTTACTAACCTAACAATAGTGGAATTTCTGAATGTTAATTTTCTTAAAATTTTTTGAGCAAATCCGCTTTTCTGTTTTATAAGTACCGAATGTGATTAGCTTAAGAGGCGACGGCGAAGTATTCCTTGGACTTCTTAGGATCAGCAATCATGGTTTTCGCACCGGGCTTCCAGTTAGCTGGACACACTTCACCGTGCTCGTCGGTGAACTGGAAGGCCTGCACCAAACGCAAAGTTTCATCGACACTGCGGCCAACTGGCAAGTCATTAATGGTGATCTGGCGCAAGTTTTGACTTTTGTCTATGACGAATAGGCCACGGAATGGAATGCCAGTATCTTCGTCCAACACACCGTAGTCACGTGCAATCTTCATGGATTTATCTGCCAACAAGGGAATAGACAAATCCCCAAGACCACCCTGCTTGCGAGCAGTATTTATCCATGCTAAATGCGTGAAGTGACTGTCAGTTGAACAAGCTACAAGCTCACATCCAATATTGCGGAACTCAGCCGCGCGATCTGAGAAAGCAATAATTTCGGTGGGGCACACGAAGGTGAAGTCCAATGGGTAAAAGAACAGCACCAAGTACTTGCCCTTGAAGTCATTCAAATCGATCTCTTTGAAAGCGCCATTAACAACGGCAGTCCCCTTGAAGTGAGGGGCAGGCTTCTGAAGTTTTGGCATCTGCAAAAAAAAAATATATAAAAAAGAAACAGTTAAGGTCTTGTAGCTGACAATATTCCAACCGGTAAATCTATTACCCGATTGTGAAATCTTTATTTTAAGTAAATATGCCGGTGAAGGTAGGTACATAAAAATTATACATATTATGTATACGTGATTCAATAATTGATTTATTATTGAATCATGTTATGTATGTAAATATTTCTGCAAGCAAGCGTTCCGTTTAATTTACCTTTCCGATTCAATACGTATAGTTGAAATCAAAACGAGTTTTCAACTCTATTTGTCTTTAAAATATGCAGTGAATCAGCAAATCAGGGAAGAAACGAATAAGTACCTACGCGGCAGATATGCACACGAACTAGTAAATTTTAGCAACAAAAGTAATTAGAGACCGAAGAGCGAGCTGGTAGTTGGATGCTTGATGACTAGGGTTTCGATGCCGGGTTCGTGGCGGAGAGGGGAATAAACGAACCGGGCCGGCGACGAGCAACACAGGCAAATGCGAACGCTTAAAAGCAAAGTACATACATACATATGTACATAGATAAAAAACATTGTTCGAAATCTTTCTAGAATCCCACTGATTTAGTTATTTCCAACTATTCAAAGAAATTCTCATAATTACATATGTACGTATATTTGATCCGTTAGGTTTTTGCCGATTTACATAAGTTTTTTTACACAGGCACTACCTCAGAGTAAATGCTTCTTATAACCAGACCTTTCAGTTTGCGGAAATGTCCAACTTTGTGTTAATTTACTCACCTTGGAAAAGATTTATCGAACAAATTTGCGAAAAAAGTAATTTCACACCGATAATATATGCGAGCAGGAATAACGCACTCGAGTCAGACGGAAGGCGAGCTAAATTTACACCACACCGAACAACACGTTCGAACGTCTATTCAATTCGAATATTTGCAAAAGAATGAACAATTCAATTTGCATAAATTCATTTCAACAGCTGCTGTTTTATAGGGATGGCAAGATTAATCTAGCGATGTCGGCAAAACATCGATGCATCGAAAATATCGATGTTTTGCTTCGATGCATCGAAAATTTTCCACTTGACCTCAGATTTCCACAGGCAAACACCGATGGCCTACCAACTGTCATTTTGACGAGCAATATGATTGCACGTTTTTGTGTGTATGCACATTGACGTCTTGAAATAAGCATTTGCCGCATGACGCCACCAGACAATATTCTCTGAATTTCGGTGTTTAAAAACATTTATATCTTTAAAAAACTTGCTGAATAATTTCTTAAAACGTAATCATAAATAATCCCATGGGGAACAGATTTTTATTTTGATTTAATATCAAAATTTCATCGACGTTACCACCGGCACGATTTCTTTCAAATGAAAATATGGCTATCAAACTACCCTGCAAGAACAGTGACTATCATTTGACAAATTATTTGAGTAGCAACCCTGCAAGAACAGTGACTATCATTTGACAAAACATTTGAGTGGCAAGACTGATAGAGATTTCTGTCACTGGCTACCTACAAGTATCTATCAAATTCTAAAGGGCAGTGTGAAAAATCTGATGTAAACATTTGTGCACATATGTGATCTTCCGTCTTCCTCCAACTTATGCCTTATTGAATGGTCTTTTTTTAACCAACGCAAAAATTGCAAATGTGTTAGTAAGATAAATGAAAATGTGTTAGTTTCCATCACACAATTCTTGTGGGGATATATTCAAACATTTCATAATCCAATAGGATAAAAAACAATTGTAGCTTTCATTTGATATACAACATCATGTCTTCAGTCTGTACTAAACAGAGTATTTAAACAAAACGTAGGCGGCCTTCGGCCGCACTTAGGGATTCTTTCTGTGTTCCGAAAGAAAAGGGGCTACACCTTTTGGCGTAGGCGGCCTTTGGCCGCACTTAGGGATCTAACCCTCACTAAGTAGGATTCTCTTTTCTGTGTTGCGAAAGAGAACGGGCTGAACACTTTTTGCAGAGAACACCTTTCTGCGTAGGCGGGCTTCGGCCGCCCTTAGGGTGTATAACCCTCACTAACTAGAATTCTCCTTTCTACGTTGCCGAAAAAGTGGGCACATTATGTGACTAAACTATAGTAAATATAAGATTGTCACTTCCTTGTAAATGCATTTTAATTTTTTTATTATCACTGAATTCTTAAGCCTCAAAAGCAGATCATAATAAAATATTTATATGAAATTAAAGGTAATAATTTATACTTTATATGTAATGTAAATTTCTTTAGCATTAGTCACGTTATTTTTTCAAAAAAGGTCATTTTATGAAAAAAATTATCAGATTTTTTTAGTTTATTAATATTTTGGTCTTTAAGATATGAAAAATAATATAAATTAGATACACGAGCTGAGAGAAAAGTAAATTACCTTTATTTTGACACATTAATTTTTGTAATCGGTTATGTAGTTCATACGATATTAATATTTAAAAAAATAACTTTCAAAACTAAATATCTTGAAAACTAGAAGGCTCCGACCCCTAAAAGTGGGTATATTTGAAAATCAGAGTAGCTTAGCTTTCTAATTGCAAAGTCAAAATTTGTCGCCCCGATTATCGTAATCTCCCCTATATCAGAGCTTATATTTTGCCATATATTGCCGGCGATTTGGTAGTTTGACAGCTACATTTTCATTTGTACGAAAGCTTCGTGGCGGTAACATTATTGATATTTTAATATAAGGCTTGTTCCACACGAGCCCGCGGGATCCTGCATGTGCTCAAAACAGCCTAGAAAGCGTTCCCCACGCTACAAAAATGGGTAATAGAGAGCCAATATGCTTCACTCATGATTTAATAATACAAGGTTCCATAAACTGACAGTTGTCTCCCTCGCGCCGCTCCCTTAGCAGTGGCAGAGGGTTGCTTCTTTGCAAATTTACTTGGAAAAAGTGTAGCTTTGCTGTGAAATAGAAGTATAAGCTTTTGTGCAATATGTTTATTTATATATGCATATGAAGCATATTTCACTGATGAAAACATAAATTGTTTTTAAATTGGATTTGTGCATAAATCTCATAGTAGTTTTATTTTAATTTTGAGTCCTGATGCATTTTTTATACAGCTAAATAGCACATATATTATCTACGGAATTCACGTAGATGTATTAATATTTCGCTTAATATTTCGTTTAAACTGCCAGATTTCCTGCAAGGAATTTCACTACTAATTTCCTACTTTAAGTACTTTTCTTCTACCATTTTCGCAACAAGGGATTGCATTCTTCCCCTTTCTCTGTCCTTCGTAAATGCAGTCCTTTGTAAGGGAGTGTCAAGCCGCGGCTGTCAATAATTATCTAACCTTGTATTATTGAATCATGTGCTTCACTTTTGGATCGCAAATGTCTTCTTCTTTGTGCACAAAACAGCCCGCATTTTTTTTCCGGGCACAGATGTGATGGCAAAAGATGGGCAATTTGAAATAACATATGTTGTAGTTTAAATCCGAAAGCAAATTTTATAAAACACAAAAGTGGAAAACACTACAGAATTTTCAGAAAATGTAGTAATTTGTAATTTCATTTGCCATATAAGATAAATACACGTAAAATAATTGTTTAGAACTGATTTGTTGATTCCTGGCACGAAATGTGGTTTTGTGCGTTCCTCACGCGCTGGGCATTTTTGGCACGTGTTGACACATTTTTGACGCTTGTGAGAGAGTAACTTATTTTTACGCTCTAATTTCCGGAGCAGCCAGGAAAGCGTGTGGAAAAAAGCTACAAAAGCAAAAATTGAATTGTTTGCTGTCAATTTTGATTTCTAATACATCAATGCTAACCAATAACAAAGGAATCATCCACTTTGTTTCTGATGCGCTGATTGCTCTAGCGCTGCGTTTCGATAGCTTTTCGGCTACGTTTTGTAACAGTATACATTGTCAATATTTTGTAGTTCGATGTTATGCAACCTTATACTTTGTACGTATGCAAAGCAATTGATGTTTTGGAGGTCAGCCAATATTTGCTATTATGTACTTAGATGCAAACAAGTATATTTTTTTAAATTTTTTAAGTGATTTAATCCGGCAAAAATGCGTTTTAGAAGCTATCTTACAAATGCTTATATCAAAATATAAAAAGCCCACGCAAATATTGCCACTGATATAACTTATATCTAGCGACCAAAATCACAGTTAGATAGCAATCAATTTTATCCTGTGGAGACGGCCAGTTAGAGACATAATTAGCTCAGTTGCAGTAATTTATTTCAACTTTTGTACAATTTTGTTAATAACACATTTTGCAAGAATGATAGAATACAAGATTGCGCCGATCAGAGAGGATTTTTGAGAATAACTTTTGTGTGACGTCACACTGGTGCAATTGCGAGAGAGAAATGCCAAAACGTGAGCAAGAATGGAAGAAGAAGAAAAAATTTTGCAAGGAAAAACGTAAACAAGTTGCACCAGTGTGACGTCATGCAAACAACGATTCTGTCAAATTCGTTAAGAGAGGAATAGCGGTCCGAGATCGGCGCAACCTTTGTATTCTCTCAATCGTGCACATTTTGTTGTGTTGTTGTATTTCCCGTACGCAACGAGTGATCCCGCGGGTGCCAAAAAATAGCCCAGAAATCATACCCGTACTCAACAAATGGGTAATTGAGAGCGAAAATTGGAACATATTGGATCGTAAGTGTCTTCTTCTTCCTACTCGAAACAGCCCGGCCTCTTTCTCCGGATAAAAATGGATAAAGTGTAAAAGTGCATATCATCTGTTTTGTGTTTTCATGTTGTCTGCATTTACTTGGTGCTTTTAAGGAAGAGTGAATGGCCTGTTGATGTATTTTAAATCTTTTTATATGTATTTGAAATCGAATTTGTGAAGCCAAAATTCAATTTCCAAGTGTTTGCATTAAAGTGAAAAAACAAAAACAACGCGAATCAGCTGATTCTCAAATTCTGGGCCACGAAATGTGGTTTTTTGCGTTCCCGTACTTCTGGACTTTTTTCCATTTTTGAGACCAAACTTTTCGCTTATTCTCTAATTACCGGATCCGGTCCGGATCGCTAGGGAACGAACCTATTATCTGGAAAATCCTACCGTAGCCTGGTGAAAAGATTGTCGTATGTTAATTTCGGCAGGTTGTGGGAAATGGCGATTGAAGTTTGGAATGCAATTTATCAAAAACGCGAAGATGGATTTTCTCCAAAGTCTCTGAAAATGTTACTAGTTCACAAAATTCTTAAAACCCCTATTCTGCAACTCTTTCGTATTCGGATTTTGCTACGAATCGTAGAAATAGTATGCTGCAATCCGAGTCGTTTTTTCGAACTTTCGAAATTTGTAACAATGGCATGCCTAAAAACGAACTGGTGGTGGACCTAACAAAGTGCATGTTTCCAATGGTGTGGAAGAAGCTGTTATTGCATTAACTGGATTGAGAATCAGTTCTTCAAGCATAGGAGTAGTTCTGGCGCGTGGTTCAACAATTCAACCAGAAGCTGACATAGATGCGCCCATGGTTACTATGCCCGACAGCTTCGCACACCTTTGGGAATCCATTGCCATAGCGCCCGCTTGCTTTGCTGCTATAATTGCGAATACATCAGAATCCATAATTTTCCTCAAAATATGTAAAATTAACCAATTTTTCAATAAACAAGCACATGATGAGTGTTTTTTTTAATTACTTTCCACTTTGTTTTCCTTCATTCAGCTATCTTCGAAAAACTACTGGTAGCTGGCAATGCTACACATTTTTCCGCAAGGGATGCAGTATTTGGATTTTTCGTTTTTCGTAGCATAGCTATGCATTACAAATTACGAAAATTAGGGTTCTAGAATAAGGGGGTAAATTATTTAATTTTTTATGTTTATTGTAAAAAATAGTTTTGAGTTCATGAAGGATTTTCTTTAAAAAAAATTTTGTCGTAAGCGTCATTTGTCCACAATTTGGCAGCCACTCTGTATGAAATACGACAAAATGTGATCAAAATTCTTACTAAATCAACGACACTTTTTACTCAATATCTCGGAAACTAAAGG